CGTTAAGTAGCTGTTCAAATGATCTTCTGGGTCCGCCACCCCGTCGTAACTGGGTAACGGGGGAATTGTGGTTCCCGCCGGTTCCACTAGGATGCCTCGCGCCAATGGTTGCCGGACTCCGAACCGCTTGGCGATTCTTCTAGGCGCCCACAAGTCTTCTGGCTCCGCCTGGGTATGCTCAGCGGGCATTTTCCAGGCGCGTGAACGCCTTGGTACGTCATGTCCTTGATCAGCTTGGTATGGGTGCCCGTGTTGCAAAGATTCCGAATCCTCCCCCATTCTTTCTCGCTTCCTGGCTCCTGGGCTATGCATCATCACGTCCTCACTTCGCTCCCCATCCAACTCCCTTCTGAGCGCCGCGATGGCCCGATCTTGGTCGGCTATAATTCGAAATAGCTCTCTCTTCGTCAAAGATTCCCCTTCATCCGCCGATAGGCGCCCAGGGCTCGCCTCCCCTTCCGCCTCCATGTTCAACTCCCGGCTCGGTTGCTGCTCGCCTTCCTCATGACTCGAGTTGTTCAACCTCGAAACGTCTTCCCCGTCGTTCGCAACGTTCAAGTTTTCCATTCTCCTTTCACCCTACCTGGCGCGCCAATTGTTGGTGCCACGTTCCTCGAGTCCCACCCCTCTCGATCTCGACCCTTTCGTACTCACTAGGGGCGCCCGGATCCTGCAAGGACAAGCGCCTAAAGGGCTAGGGAATGCCCGTTAGCACTCCGACGCCCAAGTCAGAACCAAGTCTAGAGAGAGAAGTATAAAGTCGGGTTTTAGTGTGAACAGCCAACCTGCATAAATGCTATCGACTGCCCCTATTTATACTCACCGAACCCGAGGTTGATCTCCACCACGTCACCATCCTCATTTAATGCTCTGTGCCCCTCTGTGAGACAGCTAACCGCCCTGTCAGGCTCCTGACACCTGACAGGCATCCCACAGCTCTGCCAGGCTCCTGACACACGACAGGCGCCCGCAGGCAGTGGTCCGCCATCCAGCTGGCTGCCACCTGGCTTTTGGTGCTTTATTCTTAAGATCTCTTCTCTTGTTTGGGCCCAAGGGCCACTAGTGGATATTGACTCTTATCTTTTGGGCCTTGCCCCCCAACTCCTTCTTTGGGAGCCCAAACTCCTAGCTTGCTGGGCAATACCCCCAACAAGTTAGTACATGGTAATTCTTGATAGAGATAGCTATCAATATAGAGGTATCCTGACTGTAGAAATATGGATTAAATTGATTGACAAGGATAATTAAATTTAATGAGATAAAATAGTAAACTCTTGTGTTTCCCTCGGAACTCTCCAATATCAATTTCTCCAAAATAGTTGATTTACTGAGTTACTTAATTTGTGTGTATCTTTGCAAATCATCACTTGATTACAACCTTTTCAATTTCTATAGTTTCTTGAACTAAATTTGTTAATTATTGAATGTTACCAATCCCCTAGAGAATGATAATTTTACTTGCATTTTATTACTTGTATGACACTGTACACTTTTAGTTTTGTCATCTCCAGTGACCAAATATGGTTCTCGCATGCTTTTTTAAGTGACCAAATGTGGTCCTCATCTGCTTTTTAAGTGACCAAAAATTAGTATGACTAGGATTTTTGGTACAAAACTTTAGATCACTTTAAATGTCAAACTGAAGATCATTTAAATGACCAATCGTGCAACTAAACTGCAATTTCAGCTACAAAATGCAAAATTAAATTTTAGGTAAATACAATAGGGTTAATTGCATGATTGGTCACTCAGAATTACAAAAAACATTCAAGTTTGGTCACTCAAAATATTTAAATCCATTGGTGGTACTTGAGTTTACTGAAACCGTTCACGTTTGGTCACTCTCCGTTAGAGGTGGCAATTTCAATCCAATCCACCAATCCAATCCATCAATCCATTAAAAATATCCACCTAATCCAATCCATTTAAATCCAATCCATTTGATCCAAATCCAATTGGATTGGTGGATTCATGGATTGGATCCATGGATCATTGGCAAATTACGGTTTAGTAACTATAATTTTTATTTTTTACATTTTGGTACCTAAAATTTAATTTTTTATACGAAAATTATCATTGGAAAATTACGTTTTGGTACCTAAAATTTTTCATTGTGACATTTTAGTACCTAAACTTTTTACATTTTACATATTGGTCCTTGATTGAGGATGTCATTTGGATTCATGGATAATCCACCAATCCACTTGATCCAATCCTTGAATCCACCAATCCATTACATCCAATCCATTTGATCCATGGATCCACCAATCCAATCCACCAATCCAATCCATTTGCCACCTCTACTCTCCGTCCAACTCCGTTAACTTTGGCTGATGTGGCAGTCAACTCTCAAAATTGACCGTTAATTTAGTGACGTGGCAATTAAGAAATAATAAATAAAATAAAATTTAATCTATTTTAATGTCGAACTCATTTTTACCATAAAACTAAAAAATAAAAAAATATTATAATTGTTGGGATATAATATTGCTGCCCGCCACGCTTCTCCTCGACCACCCACTCGATCCCTGTACTCGCATTGCTCAGATTTCGGTCGGGAAACTCCGCCAGCTTCACGCCCCTGAAATTGAAAATCCTATCGCCGGCCAGAAACGCGAAATCGCAAGGTTTGTAGTCCAAGATAATGTTGTGGTTCGTAGCGCTTAGCAAGTTGAAGTCTGGCAACTTCAATCCCTGTGGAATCGAGCTCTAGCAGCACCCGATTCTGGAGCAGACAACCGACGACGAGTTCGAAGCAGCAGTTGAAATCTGCCGCGAGGCTTTGGCGGCGGAGACGCCATCGCAGAAGGAGATGCAACTGCTGCCAAAGTTGCCTGCGGCGTCTTTCATGAACGCAATGGTGTCGCAGCCGAAGACCCGGAGCTTGTTGTGAATGTTGGAGAATCAAAAGGGTCCGTCGCCAAGGTTGATGGACGGGTTGAAACCGTAGTCCTTCATCAGACCGATCTGGTTGTAGCAGCTGTAGGCGTCGCCAATAGCGGTGGAGAGGTTGCCTCCCTCGACTGAGACGGAGGTAAGAGAGGAACTAGCTTAGTTCCAGCTCATTCGCAGGGTTATTTTTACAATAATATTAATCATGCATTCGAAATTAGAATTAAATTATTTTTGCGTTAATTAATCCTTTAGATTGATGCAATTTATTTGTAATCATAAACTTATGAATCTCGTGTATGTACTTGTGTCCCACCCAATTAGTATAATTGATATAGTTGTGAATCTCGCGTATATCATATCTACTTTTGTGACTATTTAGTCTGGCCAGTGCTTCGCTTGCATGCCCTACGTGTAAGGGATTTCAACCGTGTGTATTTCATTATGTAACAATGTATATTTATACAAGTACAGTGAGACAGAGTACAAGAGGGAGAAGGAGAGAACTAATACAAATCCTATACATACTAGGATTTCTCCCTAATACGCCCCCGCAAGATGGAGGCAGCGTCAGCGAGTCCAATCTTGCAGCTCAGGAGTCGAAAGCGGGTAATCGGGAGAGCTTTAGTGAGCAGATCCGCTAGCTGAGAAGCAGTGGGCAAGTAGCGAATCAGAAGCTGCTTGGAGTTGACTAGCTGACGTACGAAGTGATAATCCAGAGCCAGATGTTTCATCCTGGAGTGAAATACTGGATTAGAGCTGAAGTTAACGGCACCGAGATTATCACAGTAGAGAGTAGGAGCAGCAGGGAGCGAGTAGTGAAGCTCAGCAAGGAGATTCTGTATCCAAATAGTCTCTGAAGTGGCCAGAGCCAAAGCTCTGTATTCGGCCTCTGTGCTGGAGCGGGCAACAGTGCGCTGTTTCTTGGATTTCCACGAGATAAGTGTGTCACCGAGGTAGATGAGGAACCCGGAGGTGGACGTCCGATCATCGACGTCACCAGCCCAGTCAGAGTCCGAGAAAACTCGAAGGGACAAAGGGGTCGACTGCCGAGTGATGTGGATGCCCAAGGATCGAGTTCCAGCAATGAAGCGAAGGAGCCGCTTCACGTGCTGCCAGTGAGTAGAAGTCGGGGCATGCATGTACTGTGACAGCTTGTTTACTGCAAAGGCAATGTCAGGCCGCATAGTGACGAGATACTGGAGGGCACCAACGACTTGCCGATAGAGAGTGGCATCAGACGGGGCCGAGCCATCAGAGAGTGTGAGACGAGTGGTCGATGCAAGAGGAGTCGAGGCCGGTTTGGCTTCATGCATCTGGAACCGCGTGAGGATATCGTTGACATACTTGTGTTGAGACAAGATGCAGCCCGACGACGTGGGAATGACTTCAATCCCAAGAAAGAAATGAACATGACCAAGATGCTTCAAGGAGAACCGATCCGAGAGTTGAGCTTGAAAGGTCGTGAGAAATGCCGCATTATTGCCAGTGAGGAGCAAGTCATCAACATACATGAGGAAGTAAGCTAGGACACCACCACGTGAGTAGACAAACAGTGACGCATCGGAGCACGTCTTCACAAAGCCACAAGAGAGGAGGAACTTACTGAGAGCATCATACCATGCACGTGGTGCTTGACGAAGGCCGTAGATAGCTTTGCGAAGGCGACACACGTGGTCAGGGAACTGAGGATCACGAAAGCCAGGCGGTTGCGTCATATAAACTGTAGACACCACATTTTGTCCGGAGCAACCATCCTACTCAAAACTCAAAAGAATACCCAACTTAAAAAGAAAACTCAAGTGAAATTTGGACGACGTTGGTTGAGATTAGCAGTGGCCAATCAATAAGTACCAACGATTTTCGAGTCCGTTTTATTTGGTTTGAACATTTGTATAGGTAGTATTAGCAGTAGCTAATGGTTACCAAATTCCCCTTATGCCGTCACGACCTATACTAATATCGTTGCATTAAGTTGGTCGAATTGGTCTAAAGTTGGTCAAAAGGGATATAACGATTGGTAATTTTGCTTAACAACCGAAATCCATGGTTTGGGAAGCATGGATTAGACGTTTGGATATGGTTTGAAATTGGATAAGCAAGCAAATTGGGTTGGAAGGATCAATTGAATTTTTGAGCAATACATACAAGGATCATCTCATTCTAAAAGCAATAACATAAATAAATAAATAAATGTGCAACTACAAATTACAATTTATTAACTTTTAAGATACACTTAGTAATTATACATTAAAAAAAAAAACTATCAGAAACAAACCCACACCAGCAGCCCAATTCTCAAACCATAAACACAATCCAGGCCCATATCTCAGCCCAATTAACTCTGGTCAACCCGGGTCAACTCTGGTCGAGCCAGTCAACTCGGGTCGACCGGGTCAGCTCTGGCCGACCCGGTCAACCAAACCCATCATCCTTATCTTATCTACAAGAACAGCAGAACCGCCGAGCATCAGAGTAGTAGAGTAGTAGAGTAGCAGAAATGACTGCCATCTCAAAAGGAGGAATTCGGCCACCTCCTCCAAAGAACCAACACCGAATTGCCAACACAAAAGTTGGTTCAGACAACCACCTCAAGAGCAAAGGAGGAGCAGCCAACACACAAATAAGAACAGTAAAAAAGCAACTATATATATATAGGAGCTGGTCGGTTACAAAAGGGGAGAGAAAAAGGATTGGAGAAGGAGATACAAAGAGAGTGATAAGGAGGCCTAATTATCGGAAAGGGGGCTTTCTTTGGTTTTTCCAGAAAAATAGAGAGAACAATAGCACAAAATTACACAGCAAGTTTGATAGGAGAAGAGGACAGTCGATTGAAAGAGCAAAGGATAAACAACAAGCAACCATCATCGTCAAACGGCAAAAGAACAAGGTTGGTGTTTCGCTAATCCATCTCAATCATGAAGCATTTGCCATCCATATAAATAATCATTCAACCCAATACATCTAAAAACATAGTAGAAAGTAAGGATATATATGTTTTTATGCCAGATCTGTATGTATGTTGATGATGGGAGCATTCAAACTCTCTACGCGCTTGTTGCTTTCATTCAAATTCTTAATCTTGTTGTGAATCTGTCAATCTAATCTTAAGTAACGAACTAAACATAACCAGACTGTTTACTTGAATATATTTCATCATTTTGTGGAGGTATGGTAAACACACATATATGCTAGCCAGCAAAAGCAATACGTTATTTATACCCACTAGTTACATTTACTTGTGCTTAAATCCGATTTGCTTATTATAGATAGATAGTGCTAGATTTGACTCAATACGATTAGGTAGTGATTTCGGGTTTATTAAATCACAAAGATAACAATTTCCTAGTGTTTTTCATCATATATAGAATATAGTAGAAAAGCTTCAACCTCGCAATCGACCCGCAAAACCATAGTATAAGGAACCAGTTAATCGCAAACAAATAAGAGCTCAAGTTTATGATTTAGTCACAAGCAGAGGCTGTGACTTTAAGTTTCTTCTAAGATTGTTAAAACTTAGCAAAAAACGGATTTTCATATAACCAACATTAGGCTGCACCTAAATTGGTGATCCAAGCCATTACCGATGCTATACCCCCAAATTCCAATCCTAAACAAGAACAACAATTTTCTTTCTTCTGAAATCACAAGCAGGGGCTGTGATTTTCGGTTATCTTAAAATTATTTAGAATTTCAAACCTTAGTAGAAAAAATTATTTTCTTAGTCACGATACACACCAATTCAGCCGGCAGATTAAGAAATTACATCCTAGCTATTAAAAACCCTAGTCAAAATTAATTAAAACCATCTAACCTAGGAAGATCGAAACAAATAGAGGAAGAACTCACCCAATACAAAATCGGTGCCGGAGTCTTTGTCGCCGGCGGCAAGGCTCGCCGCCCCCTCTCCCCCTCGATCAAACACCAGAGAGAACCCAAAAACCAAAACGGAAGGTCAGAATCCTAGAATAGCTCTTAAACCGAGATCGATAAAAAGATAACATGCAAGGGTAGAAGTCGCTTACCGCCGACGTGAGGACCTTCCGGATCATCTTCGTTTTGTGGTCTACAAAGGGATTTCTGCTTGTCGTCACTTTCCTGGGGATTTCGTTCGAGTTTCATCAGAAGGAGAGGGTAGGCAGATCGAGGGATAGAATAAGAGAAGCCGTCTTTCCCATCTCCCTCGTCGATTTCGAAAGAAAAGGCTAGGATTCTTCGATTTTTGACGGGTTTTCGTTTCTGGACGAGAGAGGAGAGAACCAGAGGTTGAGAGCGGCCGATTTAGGGTTAGGAGGCTGCAAAAAGGAATTTATACCTGTCGGGTCTAAATGACATAATTGCCCCTAGGTTTTCGTTGCAAATACACACCCCTGCCACCGCGTTTTTCAGTAATTACAAAACTACCCTCCCCCCTTCTCTTAAACAAAACGAGAAACCAAAATAAATGCTGCTGGAGGGGTTTCGAACCGATGTCCTCAAGGGCGAACACGCTCCGACTAGTGAGCCAGCCAGTTGGGCTACCGGCCCATTTTTCGTTACTTAAACCATCCCGCTTAGTTTTATTTTGTTTAAATTTCTTAATACGAAATGTTGAATGCGGATTAAGTTTATCTTGCCTCTTTTCTAATACATCAAAATACTTCCCAATGACTAAAATCCTTGCAATAATCAATTTAAATTTTTATTAACAAAGTTATAATACGAGATTTACGTTCAGTGGGACGTGATGAAATTACACCCAAAACGATCAAAGTTAAGAACCACGATCGGTGGAACGTGGTTAAGATTACATTTTAAATCATCAAAGTTCGAACGAACTACGTGGACTTTGATCCCGTATAACGGGTACGTAGGCAACCGATAAGGTTCGAGTCCAACTAACCAATTAACTTTATTTTTCAATTGTACGTCAGTGGACGTATAAAATCATAAATTAATATGATAAAACTCTTCAGCGGTCCAGTGGGACCCTACAAATATCAATAATTATTAAAAACACACCCAACTCATATAAACTTATCAAACTTAAGTAGTACCGATTTAGGGCGTTGTGGGGGTGTTGCTTAACTTCCCCACACGTAACCGTACTCCCGAACCCAGAACTTTATTTTCGCAGACCAAGTCTCGGTTCTGATCCTAAGGTTAGAGCCGACTCGAAGAGTGTTCGATCCACTCCAAGTAAGATCGATGGCGACTCCCAAAAACAGCCGACGCGACGACATCGGACCCCCGGAGGGACGGTTGCGACAGTTGGCGACTCCGCTGGGGACCTCGAGAGTCGAGCTACATAATTAAGTTCGATAAGTTTTCTATTTTCCTATTACGTGTTGGGTGTATACTTTCTTATTTGCGCAATTATATTTTCGCAATTAAATTCTGTATTCATGCATAAAAGCTCTATACCCGAGCTATCCTTTTAGAAAATTGAAAGGAGTACCGTGACATCCACAGTAGTGGTAGTCACGCAAAACTTTCTAACCAAGTTGAACTCGGATCCGAGGTTGATCTTGAGGTATCCAGCCAGTTCGAAAGGGCTATGGTAGGATACAACTTGGGAGCCAAATCCCTAGGAATTCCCCCTGCCAACATATAGTAAGCATAGAGACCTCCTTAAGCCGTCCAAAACAATCCTCAAAGCCACCTTAAAACCATGTCGGCACGCCGTCCGAAAGCCCTAGGTCTACCTAAATAGGGTAATGATGTAATTATATGTGTTTACTTATCCAAATGTATGTTTGCTTACGATGTAATTATACGTGTTTTATCTTTTACTCGTAAAACTGTGTGATTGCATGAATGAAAAACGTTTTCAAAATTCATAAACATCATTCTCTCATAAGATTTTCATTCACTCATTAACAACTTATCATAAAAAGATTAAAAAAAAACTCACATGCATCAAGTGGGAAATGAATTTGCATTCATACATCATTAACATTTTGCATAAGCATCACGCCTACACCATCTTTAAAAAAAAAAAGAAATAATTTGACAATATTGAGACAGTCCAGGTTTCCTCTAAATTGCTCTTCCTCAAGGAAAATTCAAATCCTTAAACATCGGCAGGATCCAAAGTTATGCTCATTTCGGAGTCATTATAGAGGGAATTATACTTCATCAAAAGAAGGTTAGCGACACTTGAAGAAATGAAAGGGCATGTGAGCATTTTCCATAAGGCTTCGTCAAAAATTTGAAGAAAACCACGACTCACTGCTGGAGAGAAACCACAACTTGCAGCCTAATCAAGAAAATCATTAGGCAAACTCAAGGCATGGATGATGTTGATTATCATCGACTAATCGAGACATTTTACCTTGCTAAAAGTTGTATCAGTTTTGCTTGCATCATCATGAATAAAAGATCTTTCAATTTTCGACCTCTTTGGAGCATCGTGTGAATAGTATCAATCTTGAATTAAGAGTTCGCATCAATGGATTTTTTTATTATCAAAATAACGAATGCCACTTCGAATTCTTTTCTTTTAAAACGGATTTATCTTCTACGAACATGAAAGCTATCAAAATCCAATTTTATTTTCAAGTTAAGCCATGAGATTGTCATGCTAAGAAAATGGGAACACCCCACTGGTGTCGAGCGATTATAAATACCATGCTACCATTGATAAATTTAGCACCCACTGGTGTTGAGAGTGTACGTGTTTCGCTAAAATCGAGAGATAAACACCATAATGGTAACCACGAGTCATGTGAGTTAATAGTCAAAAGGTGTAATGAGTATACGACATCATGCTACTTGTAGAATCTCGACATCACTATAGACGCCTTTCGCCAACAAATTGAGACTTAGTTGACGTGAAGTCAAATAGCCAAATCCCAATGCACAGGGGGCCAAACATTAGTATCATACCAAGAAAACCCTCGCAGATTCTCATGACTAGAATATCGAGGAAGATCAAAGATATAATTTAGCATACAAAGGAATCACACGCAGGAAGCACTCATGTCCTCGGTTTAGGAGCCTACATCCTTACAGGCGGAGAGCGTCCATTAAGCTTACACGTCAAAGTCCGATCGTGAGATATTTGCGCAATACCGGCAAGCAAATGGTGTCAGCATCCCCACTTCTACCCAAAAAGAATAGCCAATTTAATCTAGTTATCGAAAAGTGGTACTCACATCATCGATCATCAAGAAGACTCTCTACCTTTCGATAGTCGTCCTACCAAATACAAGTACTAGATCAGGTAAAATGTGAAACATATATGGGGGCATGACAGAGTCAAGTAAGTCCCACACGCAAAAAAAAAAAAAAAAAAAAAAAAGAGAGCGAAAAGCAAATAAAAAAAAGACAAGAAAAACAAACAAAATATCGTGGGACTTACAATCTGGGTGCCCCGGTTTAGCATTTGAAGTACCAACTATCTGTACCAAGCCAAGATCTTGGCCGATCAACCTCAAGATACGGCAATGAGACCTTCAAACAAGAAACTTCCATGATAAGAAAATCGTCATAGCCAAAACCACATCACCCAAGGTACTCATCATTTTGAGAGGAAGCCAGAAGCTGAAAATCCACGACGTTCAACATTTAGAGGCCAAACAAGTATCTCGACAAGTCCTAAGCCAGATTGCACTCACTAATGAAAAATACTGGGGGGCAAACCCAGTTGAAGGTACATTCCCAGCAAAATTCACCAATATTTTCGAACAAGACTTTGTCGGCCAAAAGATCCAGATAATAAGTCAATCCCATACTTTGGGGGCAAAGCCAAAATCCCTCTACAAGAAGCTTTATACAGATATTGTCGATAAATTATACTTCAAGAACAAGGAGGCTCGTATCCTCAAAGTCATGTCGAACAAAATCCCTTTTCATTGGAAGTTGAAGACCGTCTACGACAACGCCATGCGGAAGTCTCCTAAATCAATTACATCAAGGTATCCCATATCGAATAAATCTTCACAAGGAACACTGTTGGCCATCAACATAAAAGGCGACGTCTCAAGGTGACCAGAATCTTAATGATAGCTGAAGTGTCGTACACTCAAATCACCTATAGGATTGAGTGATGAGAGAAATACAAAGCGGGAATGAAAGCGAGCAAAATCAAAAGCAAGAGTGAGAGCGAGGGCTTACTGATATTCTCATGGCTTGGCTTACACTTCTCTTATTAAAAAGAAAACCAAATTTGGCAACATGACAACTACCACACAAAAACGGTTTTCTCCAGTTTGCACACACTTCTCGAAACCAAAGTCTTGACATGGCTTTCAATTTTAATTCTCTAATAAGCGTTTTTCAAACATTTTTGCTTTCGTCTTAAGTCAAGATTGATATAGTCACTCTTTGTTCCGGAGAATAGAAAGTGAGTAACGGATCTTCAGGAGCAAAAATGGCGCAGCATGGAAGAAGGGGAAGTCTGAATACCCAAGAATCGAAAATCAACTTTTCACTCATGAGTTGATGGAGAAAACTCAAGGAGTTAGAGAGCATCCAATCTCATTAAACCAACCAGCAAACCTACTATCCTTCAACTTCATGGCCCGAAGGAGGAGGAACCAACATACCGCACATACCAAGAGATATACAACTCTAAAACATGTGGGCCCAATCCTAACCGACGGGAAGGCTGAAGCAGTACACATGCTCAGCTCACCTCACAAAGTATACCTTCGCCCAACTACTACCAAGAAGATATATCTCAAGACAACAAGTTCAAAGTCGCTTCAGCATAAGCATGAACTATGGATCGAGTTGATCAAAAGGGATTGACAATCTTGGAAGATGAGCAATTTAAAGGAGTCCCAGACCAAAAAAAATATAATAAATAAAAATTGCATAGAGATTATCAAAGGCATCACATCCTTTTTTGCACTCAAACATTCACGAATTCATCAGCATAATTCGTCACGCAATCAATTTCGAAAATCATTTTGATACTCCTTAAAGAACATCATCATATGTTAAAATGAATCATGCATTAATTGCCGACAATCTCCAAAACAACTCATACATCTAGTTGGATTTTCAATGTCTGTTAAAAGATATCATTGCAAGTTAAAACACTGCATTCGCGTGAATTCTTCAAGTCTCACGTTTAGTCTTCAAGTGCATTTATGACGAGTCATAACATCGGTTTAGGTTTGTCCTAAACGAATACAATGAACACACGATATCGGTGTTGGCGAAGAATCACAAGTCTTCCAATAAAGTTGTCCCGTCGACTATCACGGACATTACGAAAACTACCTAGTCAATTTGTTTCGTCGACTATCACGAGCAAATTAGACCATCTTTTTAACTTGTTCCATCGA